TAAATAGAAAATTTTTGAAAATTATTACTACATAACAACTTGGTTTAAAAAAACATTTAATATTTTATTTAATTTATCTAACATTTGTAAATAATTTATAAAATCCAGTTACAAGCGTAAAAATTTTTATATTTTATCATTTTTATGATTTTTTCAAACACTTTCAACGGGAAAAATTGCAACCCTCATAATTATTTATTCATAAATACCCTTTTAATTGCAATGTGTATTTTAATATATAAAATATGAAAAAAACATGAAATACATATACAACCAGGATTAATTACAAAACAAAATATTTAAAAAATTGCCATTCACAATGATATATGTAATTTACATTTGAAACAATTTGGGTCCGAATGTAATATCTATAAAACAAATTAAAAAAAAAATTATATTTGTATATTTTTTTGTATAATAAAAAGTACTGAAAACCTTGAAAGGTTCACAAAAAAGCACATAGTTACAATTTTTGTTTTACAAATTTTACAATTATTTAAAATTTTTGTTTTTATCTACATATTAATGTAAATATTATGTATAAAATTTAGCTCTAAATTTATAAATTTTCTAACAATAAAAATCTCTTCAAATATTGCATAAAAAATTAATTTTTTATTATACATACATTATTTATGTATATAAACATTATCATTTTCTAATTAAAATGAACCAAGTTTACTAATAAGCAAATTTATTTTTTAATTAAGATTATTATTCAAAAATCCCTGAGCACATAAAACAAATACAGATTTAACAACAAAAAAAAAAAAAAAAGAAAACTAAAATATCATAAATTTATTATTAATTATTCCATAAGTACTTGTAATAATATATTTAAAAAAAAAAATCATATAAAACTTACATTTATTTCATTTTAAATATATTTGAAATTCAAAGAAAAATTCATAAAGAATTATTTGTTAAAAATAACAACCAAAATACAAAATTATTTATTTGTTATACAATATAGTTTATTTAAATTAAATTAAATATTTTATTAAAATTTTTAATTTTAACATTAAATATATACATAATAAAATCGATAAAAGTTAAGAAAATCATCTCGAAAACTAGAAAAAAATAGATAAGAGAAAAACCTTAAAACTCGTTCAACGCCAAAATTAAGCTTAATATTTGTGTTATCTTAATAAAATTTTAAAATAATTTAATTTATTTAATAAACCTAGACCTCATATTCTTTATGAATATTTTCTATTATTTTCTAATTTAAAATATTTATCTTAATATTACTTTACAGTAAATAAATTTATTTCACTTACAAAAAAAAATTACAAAGCCTACAAATTTTAATAAAAAAAAAAATCTTAAAATAACAATTTTAGCGAATGATAACTAGATATAATTTAAAATTAACTTTTAATTTGCCTTTGGTACAAATCATATAAGATGGTAGAATCAATTGGTTAAATTTAAATTTAATAAATTTCCATTTTGAATTTCCTTATTTATTGCATTTGCCTAAAATAATTATATTATTAAATTAAAATAAATACATTTTTATATAATTTATTTTATACTTACTCCAAATGATTCAAGCAATTGTTATGTAAAATAGAATTTCAAGCAATTATTTCCACAATACAATTTGAAGGCACTTCTCTCTAAACAAAATTTTGAATAATAAAAATAATTTTTTTCCAAAATAATTTTTCCAAAAATTAAATATTCTGAATTTTTTCAAAAATAATTCAACAAATTATTTTAAGCAGATTTTCTTGCTCTTCATAATTTTTGGATCCCAGAGTAAATATCTAAAAATAATAAATTTCTAATTAAAATTATATTTTTTCTTACCCTATTATTAATTTTCAATCATAATATCAGAAATATTAATAAACAAAATAAAAGTTATTCAGTTGACTCCACTGCTCCAAGCCTGATAATTTAAATTATTTGTTGGTAAGTTAGAAATATTTGTGAATACTTATATTTGTAACATTTGCTTATGACCATTGATTTGCTATCTCTATTTATATAAATATAGTGAAGTTTTTGCAATATGTAAGACGCCTATTATTCTTGATCATTTTAATTCATTTACCATAGCAAACAATAAATATAAAATAACTTTTGGCGTTCAACGAGCATCAGTATCAAAAACACACTAAAAAAATAATAATAGAAGAAAATTTTAAAGAAAATAAATGGAAAAATAAATAAAAAAGAAGAAGAAAAATGTTAAACACTAGTATGTAATTTATATTTAAAAATAAATAATAAATGAAGAAAAAAAAACATTATAATTAAATATAAATAACAATTATATATTAAATTATATAAAAAATTATATATAAAAAAGAAAAAAAATAAATAATTATTATTTTTATTTTTTAATAGGAAAAAAAAACTACAAGAAAAAATAAAATAAAATGACAAAAACCAAAAACAAAAATATTTTATTAAATAATATTATAAAATCAAAAAAAAAAAAATAATAAAACCGCTAAAAAAACCCAAAAAAAAAAATTGTATTATAATTATGGTAAGTTATTAAGTTTTCGAACATATCGTTTATATATTTTTAAGAATTTGTTTGAAGTTATTATTAATAAAAAAAATGAAATGTATATGATTAAAATATATAATTAAATATAATTAAAATAGTAATATTAATATATTAATTGTATACATACATATATAAAATATAATGTATATGAATAAAGAACGTAAGATTCAAGAAGAAAGAAAGAAAAAAAAATTAAATATAATCCAAGAAATACGCAAAAATATTAATAATAAAAGAAAATAAAACCGAAAAATGCGTATAACAAAAAAAAATGTTAAAAATACACAAATATATTCACATACAATATAAAATAAATGTATTTTACATAAAAAAAATATAAAAATATTAAATAGAATCAAATAAAATCAAAAAAAAAAATTAATGTTATTATTATAATGAATTTTAAGTAATATAAATGAAAAACAAATGAAAATTACAACTATATAAAAAATATTAAAAAATTGTAAGAAAAAAAAACAAAAAAAACCCATTTAATTATAACGTATATTTATAAAATTATATAAGAAATATAGACATCTATTTAAAAAAAAAAAAACAAAAAAAAAACATATATGAAAAAATTCAAAAAACCAAAAAAAAAAAGGACTAAAAAAACGCAAACTTGAGAAATAATAAAAAAAAAAAAAAACAAAATAAAAACTAACAAAAAAAAAAATAAAAAAATAATGTGGAAAAATTAAAAAAAAAAATTGCTTTTATATTTTTAAATTTCTCACCTAAATTGAATTTGAAGTAACATTCAATACCTCCCTGGTATGTTATCAATACCACCCTGTTCACTCAATTTTCTTTCTATTCCTCCAACACTAAGCAATTATTGTAATTATTTAACAATTCGTTTTTTTTTTTTTTGCAACTCTACAATCAAATCAAATTCTACAAAATGTTAAATAATACTATGAAAAAATAAATAAATTTAGCAAATCACAATCTCACATTAAATTGAAGTATTTAAACATAGAAAATAATAATCCTGCACTGTTTTGTTGATCTTTTATTAGCCTAAGCGTGTATCTTCCTTTTCCATCTCGCTTTTTTATTCATTTTGAAATCAGAATTCACCTTTTGCTTATATCCATGATATTTCAAATTTTTCCAATATTTCCAAGATTACTCATTTTTTCAAATTATAATTTTTGCATTTTTTCTAAAATTATCGACTAAACCAATCTATAATCTTTAAAAACAAAATGAATAAAATAATAATTAAATTTTGTATACATTTTCGAAAAAAAAACTCGGAAATTGCATTATACAATTATGAAGATGATAATCATTTTCCTTCTTCTTATTTAGCGAATAAAATAACAAGATATATTATATGACTAGGCCCTATTTATAAATAGTAGTAAAATATGTGCAATAACACAAAATATAAAATTGAGTAAATATTTTGTTACAAAAATTTTATATATCTAGTAAATAAATATTATATTGTATGTAAAGAAAATCCTAATAGTATCAAATACAGAAGATATTTGATGAAACACAAAAATTTTAAATGATCATAAAATACATACTGATTTGTTTATTTATAAAACAGGTGAGTATTTGTTTCAACTTAATTTAGATTCTAAAACAGATCTATCATAAATTATCTAACATCAGATTTTTTTAATGAGTTTAAGAAACTTAAAACTGTATAACAAATACATAGTTTAAATACAAAAATTTGTTCTAATGCTCTAAATAAATTATTATAAAATATTGCAACTACTAATTTTAATATCCAAAATTTTAAATTTAAGCGACTAATTTCCTAAGTTTGAAAACTAACACAAGAAAACGAAATATGTACCTGGATTTGTTTAGTAATGATAAAATTTTTTCTATATACTTATCAAAATTTGCTAAAATCAATTGTCACAATTATTAACGTATTAATAACTTTGAAGATAGCAAAAAGTTCTTTGAATATAATAATAATGTAGAAATTTCAATTATGATTCATGATATATTATTACACATAAAATAACACGTATCGAAAATTATAAATTTTATAGGAATTCCTTATCTTTATAAAAGAAATTTTATAAAGATTTAAACAAAGAAAAAAATTGGAACCACATACAATACAGTAGAAAAAAAATAATAATTATCAACAAATATAATAAATTTTACAACTAGTTTTCGTTGATAACAAAATAATTAGACCAAAAAACTATTGAAATCTCTTATCATACTTGATTATATCTTATCTCTCTTAATTATATAAAAATTAAATGAACTATATAAATATTTTGTAAACATAATGTCGAGTTCTTCAAATTTTTGAAAATATTTGATTTCTGTCATCCAACAATTATTACCCTATTGTTCAGTAGTTTTTTTTTTGTTTTCCAAGATATTATGAATGGAAATGTATACATATTCTATGTTCTTAATGATATTTTTCAAAACAATCTTATTTTAATTTGAATATATGTAATTAAGAAACCTTATTTTCGTTTACAATATATATTTTTTTTTATTAATATGAATTATGAATTCGATTTAAACAATATAATTTTTTATTTGATTTTGCTTCACACATCAAAAAGTTTTGCATTCTCTTCATCATAATTATTTCTTTTGTTTTTTTTTTAACTTAATAATTTATAATTATAATTAAAACTTTGTTTTTTTTTTAATTACTATATACAGTGATAATCACTACATTATTAGTAGTCTAGTGACCATTCATTTTCAGCTATAAACGCATCAACAACTTCTTTCATTGAAAAATTTGGTATTAATTGATCTTGAGTTAGTTTAACCCTTGTTACTGGATCAAAATGTCCAACACGTTGTAAATGTTCTTCAATATCTTTTCTTTCATATGTAATACCAGAAGGTGTAATTACAGGATCAGTTAAAATCTCAAAACTAATTTTGCCACATAGGAAGTCAGGTACATCACGCTTCTAAAAAAATATAAAAATTTGAATTATTATTGCTTCAAGAGATCGAGATCTAGTATATTAAATTCGAATATTGAACAGAAAGTGAAGTGTAAGAAAAAGTTATTTGAAGGCAATTTTAAATAATTTTAACAGCAACACATTGAATAAAACAAAAAAAGAACAGAACATTATAAAAATGTAGATACTAGAGAAATATTTGCACTTACTCGTCGTTTTTCATCGACTTTTGCGAATAAATTATTTAACTCAGTCATATGATCCTCCTAAGGAAAAAGAAAAACAATATAAAATTTAAATTTAAAAAGAAAAACTTTTTCCGGAAACTTACACATTCCTGTTCAATTTCTTGGCTTTTTTCTTTAATTAAATCCTCGTTTACATTATCTTCTAATTTTAATTTTGCGATTCTATTTTCCATATCTTCTTTAATAAGTCTACAATTAATTATATTATTAAGGTTTCTTTAATAATTTATTAAATATATTTAATCTTAAATATAATATCGATAATGAATCTTACCTATTTAAATAACTTTGCAATTCAATTTCCTGGCAAATTCTTTTTTCTTCCAAAACATTCCAACGTTTTTTTCTTGCCAGTCTTAATTGAGCTGTAATATCATCACCAAAATTTTGTTTCTGCTCTTTAGCCAAATCGAATGCTACAAAAGATTTACAAAAAAAAATTATACAAAAAATTTACAAAATATAATTATAGAGAATACTAACCTCTTTGAAGATGTTTAATTGATTCATCATACAATTCTAATTCCATTAAACTTTGACCTAAGAAAAAGTGTGGTTTAACCAAATTCTGATCCATATCTAATGCTCTGCGACAATCTTGACATGATTGCTCCCATCGCTTTAATTTCAAATGGCATAATGCACGATTTGTAAAATATGTACCATTTGTTGGATTTTTAATCTGAAACAAAACAAAGTTCATATTGATTTTAGTTTTAATATTGAAATATCAAATAAAATTATAATAAAATGAAAATAATTATATAAATATGTAAATTTTTTAAGGGTAGTATTTGAGCTACGCATGTAATTTTAAATTAAACAAAGCAGAAGATTAAAAAGTAGGCAAATAATAAATAATTTTTTTTTTAAATTAATTAATATTGCTTCTCATAGCAACAGAAAACCGATTGAACAAAATCTAATACTGTTTTTGTGCTAGTTTCAAATGCATTCAATAAGATTAAAGGCTTATATTCTATAATCATTAGACATTTTACTTGTAATCCAAAAAATATGATTAAAAAATTATTGAACTTAATTAATAGATACACAGATAATAGGGTAGGTACCCTCTCCTATATTTCTAATATGTATTATTTTTGATAAAATTCAAGTAAGATATTATACATAAAGAGATTAAGGAAATCTGAAAAATAAACCAAAATAATAGTATTTAGTTGAACAAACTTTAGCCGGCAAAAATAAAGTATTTTTGGCTCCACAATTTTTTTCCTACCCACGTAAATTTTTTATTTAATTTTTAAAAGTTTTTGTTTTCATGTTATTCATGTCTCTTGCTCCCCTATAATAAAATTTTTACAAGTCTATAAAATATAGATAATATTATTGTACTATAATATACCCAATTTATTTGCCTTTACTAAATTTAAACCAATTCAATGTTGCTATAGAGAGAAGCAAATACTTCCGTAAGTAAAATGAATATTTAGGTATACATTCATATATAAATTTATTTATTTAGTAGGCTATTTATTGTACCTATTTCTATAATAAAATTAATAAATATGTATATTATAAATAGCTAGCATTTCAAGATATAATTAATAACATGTGTACACACATATTAAAAAAAAAAATAAATTTTAATACAAAATTGCCCTAAAATATGAATATTTTCAAAATTCTCGTGGAAATTATGTAGATTGAGTGTTGGGTATATCTTCGCTAGGTATCACAAACATGTGATTTATAGGTAGATCTATCTACATTGAAAAAAATAAAAATCAATTATGAAACTATTGAAAATTTATACTTAATTACATTAATGAAATACAAAAGGACTTTTATGGGGAAAACTCATTTTGAAAAATTTCAAGGTTTCACTTATTTATAGTATTCATGCTTATTGTATATACTTGTGTACATATGTAGTATATACATTACGTTATAGCTGTAGCCCAAAGCGAATACTATGAAGAAGAAACCTACCTGTTTTAATTTCTCATACAAACTTTAAGTTTTATATATATATGTACTTATAATAATATATACATATATGTAGGTACTTACAATGGCTTTTGTATAACATGAAATCGCATCTTCATATTTTCTTGCTGCAAATAATTGATTTCCTTGCTCCTTTAATTGAGTATCAGTTAAATTAGCTGTTGAATACATATGTTTACTCATTTTTATATAAATATGTGTATAATATTAAATTATAAATGAAAATTTTTCTAGTTTTTATTTCCGAAATAGAAAATAATCCTTTGTTTTTTTTTTTCTCCCAAATTTTCTTTTTTCTTATTTTGCTTTTAACGCAGTATTAAAAAAATCTATATATACATTTTTTTTTCTTTTTTAACTTTTACATGCTTAATACTTATATGTAACAATGAAATTATTTAAATTTTAAAATCTATATCGTATTTAAATTTAATTTATCTAAATAATTTTAAAATTTTCTAAGTTAATTAAATTGAATTTCACTATACAAGTACACAGGAACAAAAATCAGAATTAATATTTTTCTCAAAATGTCATAATCAGTTATCAAAAAATAAATTAGCTCTCTGGTGTCAGATATGTAAAATACAAGTTGAAAAAAAAGTAGTCTTACCAAAATGACTCGATTAAAGTAGTAGAATCTACTAATTTAATTTACTAATAAATTAGTAGAATCTACTATTAAATTATTTTAAAGAATGAAATTCATGACATAAAATTTGATCTTGTCTCATGTGAATTATGAATATAATAAATAATATTAAACTTGGATTTATGACTGAAAATTGCAAATTGAACAAAAAGTACGAAATAAATTTGTCCAATATTTAAGACCTCAATATTAAAATACTTTTGATATACTGAAAATTTATTTCAGCCTTTAAAATTTACAATTGCATGATAAAGTAAATATTAAGAGTAATTGTTTAAGATTGTTTGTCAGCTAGTAATTTTTTTTTCATTTCTTTTCTTTTTTGTTTCCTTTCTGTTTTAATTTTTTGATCATGTACACGTCGTTTTTTCTTAAGCAACCATTCTTCTTTTTCTTTAGATTGTTTATCTCTTATCAATTTTCTGAATAGATTTCTGTGACGAGGTTTAACCATTCGTGCTTTTAATCTATGTTCTTCGATCTCGATTTTCTTTAATGCTCTCTTGTTCTCCTTATGTACTTTACCAGATTGAACTGCCATTTGTTTTTTCTATTAAAATTTAAAATTATATTTTAATGTTTGTAATTTTTTTTCAAACAGAGAAGTTATATGTTACCTCTTTCTCACGTTTTTTCTCTTTATCTTCTTCATCATCCTCATCGTCTTCTTCTTCATTTTCGTTATTTTCATCAGACATTGTTTCACCAATTTCCGCAGACTCTTGTTGGAATAAGCTTTCAAGTTGTTCATCTACATTTTCCGGTTTTTCATCTTCTGCCTCTGATTCTTCATCGGTTGGTTCTTCAAAACCAAAATTATCATTTCAATAATATTGTATAAATAAAATTTATTTTAATATAAAATTTACCATGAGTTTCAATTAGTGAAGGATCACGTAAAGCTTTTTCTTCAGGAGGAACATAAGCATCACGTTTTGGATCAACAAATGGTGACAAATGAGGTGGTAAAACAGCTCCAATAAAATATTTATTTGTTGGTAGAAGTTCCCTGCGGTTTACGCAATCGAAAACCCATTGCGGTTGAATATAATCCCTAGATATATACTGTTTACTTAAGCTTGGTCTATCAACAATATGATGTGTAATAGTTTCATCATTTTCATCATAAGTAGCACCAGGAAAAATACTTTTCTCCCACGATACTCTTCCACCAAAAGAACGAATTAAAATTACAAGCGGCTCACGTGGTACCTCTCGATTTATGAAAAATTTTAGTCCTTTAAATAAACTTTTCAATTTTTTAACACTCTGTGAATCCTTTTTGTATTTTGCCATTCTTGTTGCGTTATCAGTATCAGTTTCTAACAATTCCATATCTATTTCATTTTCTTCTTCTTCTTGTATACTACTATTATCTGTTCGAAGTAGATCAAAATTTAATGCTGCTATTCTATCAGAAACAAAACTATGTTCGTTTGATAGTGTTTCGGCTGAATCTTGCAGCATATTTGAAGGAAATTGTGGTGGATATGCCAAATTAATTTGATGATATAAACGGAAATTCACAAAGCCCAACATTATTGTATAAAATTCTACAAAAATTGACATTACTTTAAAATCTACTTCAGATTTACTGTGCGGTTTGAACGGATAATAATGTGGTACTATCCATGTCACTTTATGTCCTTTTATATCGGCTTGGAAATAGTATCCTTTAATAGAAATAAAAACTTTTCGAATTGCTTTAGCTGCTATGACATAATGAAGGAATTCAATAGTTAATCTTCGGCATAATGATGATTGCTCTCTAGGAATCAAATGAATTGAAGGAAAAGTGCTGAATAAAAATAATAGAGTTAAGCAATCATCTAAATCTTTTATAGCATCTATAAATGTTGGATAACGTTCTTTAACTACATGATCAAGTTTTAATTGTGGAAACAGTTCAAGACGCCGTTTTAAATTACGGAAATCGCGAATTGCACGATCACGGCCAGTTTTTTTGGCAAAAATCTAAAATGATAAAGATTTAAATTTATTATTTGTTGATAGATATTTATTCAAAAACCTTATAGTTTCGCAAACTCCAAACGATTGGCTCATGTAATAAAAATTTTATGTCTTTCGCATGATATAATATTTTGATATCTGATGAGCCTTTCTGAGCTCGACGTCGATGTTTTGGTTCACGAGGATAAATGCCTTTAATAATGCATAATCTACGAAAATCATTTAAAGTCAGTTGAAGCCTTTTTAATGCTTGCTTTCTTGAAATATAAAATGTTGCTTCTCCAGATTGATACTAAAATTATATTAGTGAATATTAAGAATTATCAAAAACACACGAAGAATGAAAGTTTTGCAAAACATAACCTTTAAAATTTAATTTTTGCAATAGCTTTAATGCATTTACCTTTTTAGGCCTTCTCATGATTGAAAATTTAATTTAGTTTGTATTTCTTCAATTAAATAACTTTATAAAACGCAAATTAATAATTAAACAATCGACATAAAGAAAGATTTTTTTAAAATCCTTAATTTTTTTAGTCTTTACGGCGCTACTGAACTAACAAAAGAAACTAACGTGTGTTGTGACGTTTATTTATAGGAAATTATAACAGATTATGTTTCTTCCATATTCACAATTTTTTTACTTATTCACAATTTCGCTTTAATAAAATTCAGTTCTAGCAAACGAAAATGGGTGAAAAATATTGAATCAACCTAAATATTTTTTTGAGTAAATGATACTGTGGCTCAATACTCCACTGAGTCATTCTTAATTTCCACATTAGAGTATCCTAAAACAATATTAAATTTATACACGGCGATTTTAAAATATTGTGGTAAAGGTGAAGGTAGCAAATGTCGATTGAAATATTTCTATGGCAATATTTTCTCCTTTTCACTGATCTTAAAACAACTGCAATAAACGCACAATATTCAAAACAAAAAAGATTAAAGGACAAATCTACGTTTTAAAACTTCTGTTTCTCTATGAATACAAAATTTTCTCGAACACCAAAATGCTAACTAAAACTGCTTCATATATTGGATGAATTTGACGTGTTTGATGAATTTACTCCAAAATTTTTGAAAAAATGTCAAATCTGTAATAAAATCAGAAACGTCATAATAAAAACGAAATGACAATACTTTTTTATTTTTGAAAATGATATAAAAAACGTAAATAAAAATAAAAATAATTTATAAGCAATGCAATCACGTACACGTTACGATAGAAATAAAAAGTCTAAAATTCAAACAAGAAATGGCTTTCAAGTAGAAAAAGAAGACAAAACAGTAGGTCAGCTTAATGTGGAAAAATTATATAATTTCGAGGATCCAGATTTGGACATATTTTATGATTTATCTGAATTCCTAAGTCAAGAAATCATGTTGATGAAAAGTGAGAATGTTGAAAAATTTAAAAATTGTGAAATTAAAAATGAAAATACTAATAGAGAAGTATTAACTACCGGCAAAGAAAATTTTGATAATTTCACAAGCAAAACTATACCGCAATTCAGTAAAGAATCAACATCGAGCTCTCCAAAATTAGAAGCAGAAAAAAGAAACGATTGTAATATAAAATTTCCAAATAAAATTGTTGGTGAAATATATACCGACTTCAGTGAAATGGAAGATAAAGAATACAAAAATTTAAAAAATAATTTAGATATAAGTATTTCTAAAATATATTTTCGAAAAAAAATCAAATGGACTTATTCAAATAAGAAACCAAGGAGGAAATTTAGCTTACCAAAGGACAGCATATCAATAAGTACCAGTGAGATTTTATCGGATAAGGTTGAAGATATTGAAACTTCCAAAATTGATGTTATTTTATCACAACCCGTTTCAGATAATTTAGTAAAATTATCATCATATTTTATGTCAAACGACAAATTAGATACGATAAGTCAAGATGAAAATCTAAATAATACTGCAAATTCCATAGATTTACAAAAACTATTTAATAGGGGTGAAATTTTATTTTTTGGAAGATTAACTGATCTAGATCCCGTGTTTGGTTATAACCCACACCAAAGGAAAATAATTCATCCTGGAACATCTAAAATTGTAAGTTCAGAAATCAAGTGTCATAATGACTTCGGTGTTGAATTTTCAAAAAATTTTGAAAAAACAAATATTCAACTTTCTAAAATTAAAGAAATTTTATCTCCGCAATATCAAATCCAACCTCAGAGTCCAAAATTTAAAATACCAAGGCCTAAAACACCACCATTAAATTCAAATTTTTCTGATCATAATGAATTGTGGCCTGATGAAGACTTATTGCAAAATATAGAAATTATGGAGACTGAAGCAAATAAACCTGCAAAATCAAAAGACGTGTTAAAAACAAATAGTTTTTTGACTTGCAATAATTTTATTAATAAAACTCCAAAACGGAAATCGAACATTGATTATTCAAATTTTAGTCTAAAACAAGAGAACCATCCTGTGTTGAAAAGAAGAACTCTAGACTTGAAAACGAATTCTTCAGAGAAATCAGATTTTAAAATTGAAGAAAGTATGCCTGAATTTTTAACAGCATCACAAAAGGAAATTCATAGATCCCATGAAGCCTTATCGAGAGCCACAAGTTTAATTCAATGTGGTACTGAATCAATAATTGAACCAAATGAAACTCCCAAAAGAAGATCAAACATTGAATTTTCAAATTATAGTTTGAAAGAGAAAAACCATCCTGTATTGAAAAGAAGAACTCTAGATTTAAAAACGAATTATTCTGAGAAATCAGATTTCGAAATTGAAGAAAGTATGCCAGGATTTATAACAGCATCGCAAAAGGAAATTCGTATATCTCATGATGCATTATCGAGAGCCAAAAGTCTAATTCAATGTGACACTGAATCAACAAATGAACCAAATGAAACTCCCAAAAGAAGATCAAACATTGAATTTTCCAAATTTAGTCTAAAACAAGAGAATGCTCCTGTGTCAAAAAGGAGAACTTTAGATTTAAAAACGAATTATTCTGAGAAATCAGATTTCGAAAATGAAGAAAGTATGCCAGGATTTATAACAGCGTCGCAAAAGAAAATTCATATATCCCATGAAGCTTTATCGAGAGCCAAAAATTTAATTCAATGTGATACTGAATCATCAGATGAACTAAATATACGAAAATAGAATATATGTATATTACGAAATTCGATCAGAATTATATTTAATTGTATTTTAATGATTTATTTGTTAGAAAATCATTTTCTTTATACATAAATTAACTATTATCGTTAAAGAAATAAAATTTATTTATATTAATATCGGACTCACACAATAATGCTTGTTGGTAGCTAATTAAGTAACTTTGTAAAATACCAATTGATATTTGGAATAGTATCTTTTTTTTTTAAATTTAATATCTGAAATGGGAAATAGATAACAATTTTAGTGTTGGACTAACTAACTAATCATAAATTAACTAGAAAATGATAATGATGTTCGAGAAATATTGTTGTATAGGTGTAGGTAGGTAGGTACTAAAAAAATTTTGGAATATTAATCAAAATTTGTTAAAAATAATAAATAATAATTTAAAAAAACACAGGCGATTTTTACGTTGTTTTTTAATTAAATATAAGGGGAATGGAATAATTTGCCATTTTTACGGAACCAAATTGCAATTTGTGAGTAATATTTTCTATATATTTACTTTGCATAGAAAAACTTGCTTGGCGTAATTTGTAAAAACTTTATTTACAATTTTTCGTGAGGTCATTGTATTTATTGTATTATGACCCTTCACTATATGAACCATCATTTTGAGTGATCATTGCAACGGTGCAAATATGAGGCATTGTTCCTAATGTAAACAATTTCTGAAATTCACAAAAATAAAACAACAAGCTAATTTGCCGACATTTATGTTGTACTTAGATTTTCCATAATATTAGCATTGGTATTTATTAAATTCTTAATTTCTTAAGAAATTAATAATTTCTTTTTGTTTAATAGACAGATATTTTAAGAATTACATAGCACTCTAGGTGTATAAATTTCCAGCTAACCAGATATACCTAGGAATAGTAACGCATATTTATTCCAACAGATGGCTTTGGAATATAATGAAGTTAGATAGAAATAAATTTTTGCATAGAAGGTTGAAAAGAAATACAAAATTAACCTGTCAAATTAAAAAATCTCTTTAGTACATATTTACTTCTTTCAAAAAAATTTTGACATTTAATTAAACAAAAAAAATATTTGAATTTTGAAAAATCTTAAAAATTTAAAATAATATTAGATTTGATTCTTATAAATTTTTTTGAATTTGTTTTGAATTTTAAATGTCTTAAAAAAGAAAATGACTTGATGTCTGTAGCAAAAAAAATAATTTTTATTGTGACTGCTGCCATCTATTTAAAAATAGAATAATATTAAATATATATCTCTGAAATTGAGTACTCAAAATATAAAATTTTTTTTTTGAGTAATTCTGAACAATTTTTTTAGCATTTTTTACATATAGAGTTTTATATTTATTTCAGCTAACCGCAAGAAAATAAATAGTTTTACTACTGCATAACAGGGTCTTCACACAAACAGCGCTCCATTTATAAATATAAAGTACTACATAGTATTTTTAAAAAATATATATTCTTTTCGAAGTAATGCTAATATCTGCCGTAAGATGTCACTTTTCTTTTATTTAATAAAATTCGCCATAGTAATGTAATTAATTCACAATTATATATTATGTAATTTTCTATTTCTCTCATTTTTCTATATATGACATTATTTTGACATTAATTGTCAAAGTTACGTATAGCCTGTTAAAAAAAAAGAAGTAACATTTTTATTATTTACATAATTTCTGATTTTTTTTAAAAATATTAAAATTTAGAAATGGCAGCCGCTGGACCTGCAAGAAATGGATTAACCGGCCTTCTTAAACAGGGATGGAATGAAATTCCAGATGTCGTAGGTGGTTCTGTATTAGCTGTTGTCGGTTTGGTACTTGGTACTATAGGAGTCTCAAGATACTATAGTCTGGATATGGATAATCGTAAATATAAAATTGGCTTTGTTGTTATGAGACCAGAAGATCCAAAAGCAGCAAAAGTTCATAAAGATTAGATGAATTATTAAAGTAGAAAATATTGGAATAAATGAAATTATTGTTAAATTAAAGAAGAAAATTATTTGAATTTTGTTACAAGGATAAATTAATTTGCGATTATGTTAGCTTAGAATAAAACATTCCACATTTCTTCGAATTAAGATTGAAGGGTAAGGTATGCTAGTGAATACGAATTAAAAATAAGCACTTATTCTGAGTTTTCTGACTGTAATTTTTGTTTTAATAAAACATACAAAATGTTCTCAACACATGCCCTTATATTTTATAATCGGTCTTCTTTAAGACTAACTTTGGTTTAGTTTAATTGAAATGAATGATTTTGTTACCGATTATTATACAAAATCAGTTCAGTATTTGGCACCTTTTATTCTTATGAACTAAATGAACAGAAGGAAAAAATTTTTACCGTTCAAAAGAAACATAATCCTAAATAAGAAACAACGTCTTATTTATTATGGGTGCATATTCCTATTTAAGTGTTTTATTCCGCAAGAAGAATGTACGATTAAGGAGATAAATGTTATTCTATTTATGTATGTATATGCTTGGAGCAAATTTAGCTAGTAAGTTGAGAGGTAGGTACGTACTGAAATAAATTGAGGTCTTCTTTATCAGGGAAATATTTTATCTATTGATGCATCCTAGAGAGTTTGTAAATAATTTATGTATGAGTCCTATTCAACCAATCACTTTACTTGGTACTCGAATATAGTTCATTAATGTTTTGGCTTTTAGTACTATAGAAGCTTTATAAATTTTACCATTAATTGATTCAAAAAGAAATACAAAATGGTTGATGCAATGGAATCCAGTTAGAACAATGTTACAATAAGTAAATTATAAAAGCAATTAATTTTTTTTTTTTTTACAAAATTGAAACAAAAATATTTTTTATTTGTTATATTAATTATTTGTTTGTTTGTTTTCTTTTTTCTTTTTATACAAAATTTGCGTTACAATAATTTAAATATTAAAAAAAAAATATATATATATATATAATGTATGTTTAAGGATTTTGTTTTTTTTTTTCAAGAAAATAAAATTAGTCTGAATCTCCGCCGGCAGCACCTTCATCTTCTTCATCACTCTCTTCAAGTTCTGGCATTGGAAATCTTAATATTGCAGCAACACCGGTTAACTGAGCCAATTCTAAAATTCAAAAAGAAATATTTTTATTAAAATTTAATAATTTAATTAAACATTTTGCATTTCTTATAATACAACACATTCACAAAAATATAAAAGTAGTGCATTAATAGGACTTTGTCTTTTTGGATTCGAGAATTTATACTATTAGATCTTATGGAATCAGTTCAGTAACGATGATTATACCTACTGAAAGTACATATTTCAATAAAAGGACTTGTACTTCTACCAATTTAAATATGCTCTATTAGAAAATATTATCTGAATGAGATACAGCCATCCTCCACATACATTATGCAGATATTATGATAGATGCAAATGGAAATGCAAAAAGAATTTTGGGGAAAATACAAACACCTCCTATCTGTAATCTGTAAATTACAAGCCAAAATGTAAAGTTAAATGTTCATCTCTAAAGCTACATTGTAAATATTTTTCAATATAAATGAAAAAGATGACTTTCAATGAGGTCTGAATTAATTAAAGTAGAAGAAATCCGGAAATATTATTTAACACTTTAGCGATTTATATCAAATTTTTCTAATACACAATAGTGACTCTATCCGAGGTATTACTGTATTGTACTTAAAATCAGGTTTTTTAATGTTCTAAACATACCAAATTACTCGAAACATTACAAAATTATTGTTTGCTGTTAAACTGGTTTCTACTATTTTTTTTTCCTCTTTTTCTTTGTTACAAGAGAACGTGATACAATATAAAAATCATAAAAAGAATTTCAATTTCTTTAATTTTATTTTATCATGTTTTTCTTCTTAAAAATATAGGTATTGCCGGCTTATAATTTTTGCTTTTTCTTATGGGCCAACGCCTTATTAATGGTATCGGTAAGAATTAAAGAATTTTTTTTTCTTGTTTATTTTAATATTATTACATTTTTAATATAAAATAGATTTTCATGATTGAACCCACTCCTATTTTTTTTTCTCTTTTAATTTTTTTGCAAATAAACTTGAACCTGGCTTTCAAATGCCTTACCTTATTACACACAATGAATATAAAAATATAAGTATAACTAGATGCTTTGAGAAATTGCATATTTTATAATTATGCGTTCATAATCAAATAGTTTTGTTACAATATTATTTGAGTTGAAAACAAAATCTATGTGTCTTATAATTGTTGAGATTTTGTAATTTTAATTCCATAATCAATTTAGTTTTGATCTCTGTATTTGATCTGATTTAGTTTTGTATCAAGAGTTGTGATTTTAATATTGGAATCATTCATACACTTTGTATAAGTAAATTAATAAATGTTCTGTAAAATTTTCACGAAAAATTTTGCCGTCTTAATTGTTAAATTTAAATATAATAATTTACCATTGTACTTTTTTAATAAAATTTAAAATTGCAAAATTTGATTAATTTTTAGCTCAAAATTTGAAGTTATTTATCAAACTGTTACACATCTAAATAAAATCTTCTGCCCGCAAAATCTATTTCACGAAAACACAAGAATTTTATAAGCAATTGTAATTATAGGAAAACACGCTCATTGTGAGCTCACAGAGAACTAATTAACTCATGAGCGATCTATTCAAAACAATAGGTTTAAATAATATCATTATTACCATTTCTATTACATTTATGTATAAATTTACAATACATTAAATAATATTCAATAATATTTGGTTATCATGGTCATATATAGGTTATTTATAACTGCTGAAGCATAAACTTGTAAATTGTAATTTTACTTATTAAAATTATAGAATAACAATAGTACATAATTGTAATTTACAATTCGCTTACGTTAGAATTTTAAAAAATTTTTTAATTTACATTATTTTTAATTTTTTTTATCAGAATAATAATATTCTTTGAAATATCTTGATTATTTGGATTTGGAATACAATTAATGTTGTAATGTTATACTAAAGTAAATATTGAATAAAATGTGTTATACTTTTTAAAATTTTAATTCAATCAAAAATATAAGGAGAAATCTATTGATAAAAAGGCAATAAAGAGTATGATTCGAATTCAAGATCTTAATTTAAAAGTAGCTTCAATTTAGTAAACTTAAATTTAAGAAATAAGAGCAAAAAAATTTAGTTTTACAGCTTCATTATTTTCATTAATAACAAGACAAATGCCTCCACTTGAATGTGTTTTATGTTTCTTTAGTTTTTTTTTTTTTTATTGCACGCATACATAAAGTTTCCTATTTTATTTTTCAAAATTATATTATGTATATTTTTCCCTTCATTTTAAATTCTATTTTTAAAAAATTTTTCCATTTTAAAAAATAAGAAATATTTGTTTTTTTTTAAAAAGTCGCATAGAATAGTGAACTAATTTTCATTTTATGTACTTCAATAAAACTTTTATTATAATTTTCTACACAGCATCATTCGATTATACTCAAGAATACTTTGAATTTGTAGAAATCGTATAAGATCCCAATTCCTTATAAAAATTTCTTTTCCAGATATAAAATTCAATATTGTTTTAATTTGTTTCTAAAAAGAGAAATTATTTTTATAGTCATTGATCTATATATTGGATCTTATATAATAATAAAAACGTATTTAATTTAAAATGTATTCAATCTGATGATATTTTGAAAATAGGCTAGGACCACACATTGCATTCTTATTGAATGATGGCAAGGGAAAGAAAATTATGTATGTTAAAAAAAATTTATGCAATTGCAGCTGTTATACAATTGTATAGGAAGAAGAGACTTCAACTGAATGTAGCATATTAGTATGTTTAATTGAATGAATCTGAAATGAAAACAATCTAAATAAAGAAATGAAGCTCAACCCTTTAAAATACAAAAAAAAAAAAATAAATATTTCTTTCTTACATCGCAGTTCAAAACTATTTCAATTATGCTTATAATTTCAAATGAATGGAATTTTGACTTTATGTATGCCAGTAAAAATGGAAGAATTAATTTTAAAATTTCTAGTTGTTCTATTTATAGCCGCCTTGAATATTGTTGCATCTGGTAGTAATTTCTCATAATTTTCCTGTTTTCAATACTGTTCATTTTGAATTTTCATGAATTTTTTGATTCTGTGAAATTTTTCTATTCAAGCCTCTATCTACCAATACTACAAATTACAATTCAAAAATTATTATTGAAATAAGAAGTGACATACATACGTACATTTCAAAAATGAGAATTTCAATTATTATTTTTGTAAGATTAATGCACAAATTTATTAATTTTATTAGTCATTATACAATTGTGATTTCATTTAATTAATTTGCTATTATAATAGAAAATTACGATACAATTTTTGACATTAAAATTTCAAATACAATATCGCCCTCTATTATAATATTAGTTGTACAAATTTGTAAAACACTCTAGTGTCAGATTTTAATACTTTTTTAAATATCCAATAATTTTGATAAGAGACTAACATTTTTTTAATGATAATGATAATTAAATTTTTTTTCTTTTAATCAAATTATAATTTCGATTATGTAAAAACAATGGAAATAAAATAATTTTATATACAAAATTTCTCTTGTTATATAAAATCAACCAAACTGAAATTAGGTCGTAGTACAATCTCGTATAATTAAAGTAAAAAATTTATTTTAATTACATTTGTGACACTTGGTTTCATTCCTTTTTATTACAATGTTCTAAATTTTTATTAAATGAAATTATATTAAATAATTGAAATATGTATGTGTGTGTATATTGATAGAAAATTCAAAATTTTAATTGCAATAAAACCCTAATTAACAAATTAATTGTCAAGTACATTTGGTTTCCTCAAATTTTTAATTAAAATCTTGCAAAATAATTTCCTGTTTAGTTGCTTAAAAATTGAATTTTTATTTCTTTTATAGAATAAATATTTTCTATTAATTAATTGTACTTAGATCTTAAAAATTTTATGAAAAATTTGTAAAATACGTATACAACAGAAAGTATGTATGTACATATTTTCATTTTTCGGATTGATTTTAGTTTAGCTAGAGCTTGTAGTACTTTTCAATGATATTAAAACATGGGCGAATGAAACTTTTGTTATAAAATATAGCTGAACTTTTAGCAAAATATGCCAGAAATAATAAAAATACATGTTTTTTTAAGTTTTAAGTAATTGAATAATTTTTTTTCCTCTCTTTCTTTTTTTTTCAAAATAGCTTTGCTCTACCCAGACTCTTTCACACAACTTTTACCTTCTAATCTATTTTAATCGTAACTCGTAAGATATATTATGTATTACAACAAATTTTTGTTTAAAAAAAAAATATTTTCATAAATTTTTTATGAAATTAGGTTACAATAATTAAAAATTTTATTAATAAATTTTTTTTGGTATGTCAAACATAATATTATACAAACACACAAAATATTTATTTTCTAAAATAAAAAAGCAAATCATGTAAATACTTACGTTCACCTGATATATGCATACTAGAAAATATTTTAACTTCACCGCCAGATTCCCTAACAGATTCAACTAAATTTACATATTCTTTGCGAAGATTTATATCTTGGCACCTATAAAAAAAAACAAATAACAAAAAATAATAAAATTTTTTAACATTTTAATAAATTATATAAAATGTTTTAAAAAAAGATTTAAGATAAAATTTATATCTATAAAAATTAATAAATATTCAAATAAATCCAAATATTTCTAAGATATTATGAATTATTTTGATTCATTAAATAATTGTACTGAAAAAGTGACTGTAAAAGTTTTCTTTGGCATGGCATTTTGCACAAACTGTGAATTTTTATTATAATATGCATTGCTAATTTAATAGTTTCAAATATTTGATCATATTTCAATACAAAAAAATATTGTAACAAAATTTGCCATGCTTTATTTTTTCACTGGATTTTAATTAATAATTTAAATTTTCGGCAGAGGTCGCAATAATTTTTACTCCAGAAAGATTGTGTGACAAGGAAGAAAATTCAGTAAGGAAATATCAACAATTAAAATTTTGGACGGATCCTGAGAATTTTGTTATTAGCATTTATTTTTAAACCAATTGACTAACATGCTCCCATGCATTTTAACCATTTTCAATACAATACAATAATGTGATAATAATTTTTAAACCAACAACATTAGAGCAAAAATACTTTGAAAAATTTTAAGATTCTAATATTTTTTTGGAGCTGGATCACAAGCGGAAATACAATTTTGCCAAGACGTAAATAAAAGATGGAATAAACGTAAGATAATCAATATTATTTTAATTTTCTAACTATAAATTATAAGTATTATATTTTTTTAAGAACAATGGCCAGTATTCGATACCAAAAATTATGATTGATTTCAATGTTATTTATTCTTTTATAAATTATTTTATAACTACAATATAATTTAATTGAGCTTATATATAGGGGATTAATTTACACAATTGCTTGATATTTCATGGAAATTATATACAAGATACATACATATTTTTTTAATACAAGTTTCCTGAAGACTTAAACAACATAATAATAACCTGCAGCATTTTGTTTTGAATAAAAAATTATGAACAATTTTCTTTGATCTGTTAAAGAATTTTTTGTATTTTATACGCAACCGCAATCAACGACTTTTGCCTCAAAATGTTGCAAAACAAAATTATTAAAAAAAAATGTAAACGAATAATAATAATTTTTTTTTTAGATTTATGTTATACGATATCGGAATATAAAATGAAATACGAGATTTCATTTTAAAAGTGGAAACAATCACCTGCATCTAAGATTTACAGTAATAGCAATATTAAAACAAAGTATGTTTTTGAATAAAACTTTCAAACTTATTGATTTTTTATATTTATTCCTTTTTTAGGGAAGAATTCAGATACCGAAACCACCAACTTTACAAAACTATAAAAAAATTTTATAGAAATTCCTCAGTTAATTTATTGATTAGTTGTTAATAAATCAAATTTAAAGATGATTTTAAATAATTGCTTGTTCATAGCATATTGCATACTATATAGGCTCATATTTTTATTTAAACCAATTGATCTCAAGTAGATGTTCAAAATTATGGAATTTACCTATGATTTCCAAGTCGAAATATTCTCGATAAATTTTTTTTACTTCGATTTGATCAGTTGAGAAATTTGCCGAATTGGATTAAATTTCGCTGGATTATAAAATATGCTTATTAAATTTAAATAACGTAATTATGTGATTTTATATTGAAGGTTGTCTTAAAGAATTTTTCTTAATTGTTAGACAATAGCCATTTGTAAATATATTAGTTAAATTCAGTTCCAATTCAATAGTACTGAATACATATATCATTTCATTTCTACTGATTGATTTAAGTAAATTTTGAATTTAATTAAGACTAAGAGTAGGTACAACCTGTTCAAAAATCAACTATTTGCAGATAAAAAAGTTCAAAATTTTAATAAATATTCTTAAAGTAAATATTTACTATTAATAGATTAGATAAAATTCTTCAATATCAAAATTGTGTCATCGACCCAATCAATAAAACAACATATGTGGTCTTGCATAGATATCAAATTTTCTTCTTTAATATAATTTCTTTAATAATAATTGGAGCATACAAAAAGATTTATGCTAGAATAGAATTAATAATAAAAATTATGAAAAATAAAATAAAATCAAAGATAATTTGTGGTTTTTTTTTTTCAAAATTCTTTAATTAATATCATTGAATTTTTTTATACTCGTATGTGTATAAAAAACCTACACTTCTTTAAATTGAAATTTAATATTTCAATAAGTAAAGCAAAAATCAATAAAATAAGAATAATAAAAGAGAAAAAAAATTGAAATTTTACAACTCCTATAAAAAGTAAAAGTGTAACAAAATTGATCTTGTTCTTATGCATATTATGCAGGTATGGTATTTTTCCATGTTTCAAATGAATATTTATAATTAAAATTCACAAGAACAGGTTCCTATACTTGGTAACAATAATAATGATAATATCGAATTCAATTGAAATATGTGTATAATGTACAAATATAATAAAATTTCATAAATTAAGAAACAAAAATGGGAAATACACACATATGCATAGCTAGGTATGTATGTAGCGTACCTACTACATATTCATTTTCGCTTAAATAAACTACATGTATTGATACATACTTATCTAAATCTTTAAATATTTTACACGCTCAGATAATATAATTTCGTGCATCATCAAATATTAAATATGTACATAATTTGCAATTTGCACTTAAATATTATACATATGTATGTAGGTACCTACATAAAATACAAAAATTCCCAAAAAAATAATAAACAAAAAAAAAACCAGAAAAAAATTCACCTTTCACCTATCGTAAAGACACGTCATATTAACAAACATGCTCACATTCATAAAAATTATATTAAAATATTCATACAATCATACGAAAAGAAAAAAAAAGAACAGTAAAAAGAGAAAAAAGTCCATTGACCTCAATCAAAATACTACTGTTGCTGCTAGCTGCTACTATTTAAAAACAAAGAACTTCAAAAATTATGTGTAATTTCATACATACAGACAAACATTATACATTATATATGCATACAAATATATATACATAATATATTCTTCTATTTATGTTTACAAAAAGACAGAAATATCTTCGAAAAGAGCTGCAACATCGCAACTCACACGATTCCTTAACTTCAATAATTTGATTTTTTTTTCTTCTTTTTTATTATTATTGTTGTTTTTCTTTTTCACGTTTTTGTTTTTCAGCTTATATTAAACACATACCTACAAGTTTACTCTGGAAAAAAATATTTTTTTTTTGTCAATCTTCTTCATATTGTTTCGAAAAAGAAAAAATTTAAATCAAAAAATAATGGGAAAGGTGCATTTTGAGAAAAACACGAAAAAATTAAAAATCATAGCAAGAGAATCAATAAGAGAGATAGGGCAAAAGGAAATCGAAAAACATAAAAACAAAAATTACATACATACATATATACATACGTTTATTACTTTAAAATAATTTATGGTCGCAAAATCATAAAATTTTCTCAAAAAAAAAAAGAAAAATTTCCTTATAATGTACATCCATACATACACACATGCATATGTAAATATATAATGGAAATTGTTGTACTGTAATTTAAGCTATAAACAAGACAGTCTTTTGAGATTAAAAATTAAAATTCTTTTATATTATAAATTTACATTCTTATTGAAGTAGCACCAATCTGACTTTCATGCAAACATAATTGTTTACTCTTACAAGAATGATATTAAATTATAAATTTAAGAGAAATATGACGTGTCAAAAGACTGATCTCTTCAATTCTCTTAAAATTTTAGATTATTTTTTAATGGGGAAAATTTTATATTGTTTTTAAAGAGAAATGTAATTTCTAATTCATGATTGCCAAAATGTATTTTAGTTCATAAATTTTTTCGCCATACTTACATCATTTTAATATAAAAATTATTAGAATAATTTGAAAAATTTAATTTATTTATTTTAATTTAATATTCTTGATTAGTTTTGTCAGAATAATTACAGGGGTTATGATTTATAAAATGGCTTTTCAATGTTTTCAAATTTCAATGTAAAAATTACATAAAGTTATTTTAGTTGTCGGTATACACAACATAATACAAAATTTAAAATATGGGCAATCCGATGAGACAAATAAATTCATACATACAATTGCAATATTGCGATATATTTATATACGGTTAATTGTTATATACGGAAACTAACGTGAAAACCAAACGTGTTTTATATTCTTAACATTTTTGGTGCACTGTTGTACCAGTTGTATAAAACTATAATTATTATTTACTAAATTTTCTACACGAATTTGAATATTTCATTTTAAAACAAAAATTTAATATACGAAAATGTGCTATGCTGTGCCAGTTAAAAAGATTACTATACCTTTATTAAAATTGAAAGAGAGAAATGAGAAAACTTTTTTAAATTTTTAAAATTGAGTTTTGTTTAAAGAGAAATACATTCGTTATATTCTTTTCCATACATTATTATTTATTATTATTATTGTAATTTGTAAAAAATTTAAATTATGATCGTGTATTCGTGTTTGTATTTTTAACTCTTTTTTGCTCATTTTTATTATTTTGCTCTCGCTATATACATATTATCCATTGAAGTTTCAATTTAAAGTACTTACTCGTATTATTTTAGAATAAACTCAGGAGGAAAGCAATTAATTTAGTATATCCATATTAAAATATTACATACACATATATAATATAGAGAATATAGTTATTATATATATGAAAGGTATATAAATGACTAGAATATCTTAAGAAATTTTTTATTAATACGTCGGGAAATACCTCTAGGGTACCTACTATGTATACTTTTTGTGATTTGGTAATGTTACCAAATTTAAAAAAAAATTAAGCTAAATTTAGGATAATTTTTGTTCCTTTAGTCTTAAAAAACTTTAATTTTGCCAAAAGTCAACTCATAATTCCATTTTTGACAGTATTTTAGGTAAGGATTGGAAAACATGAGACTAGATTAAAAATTTCCTATTGATAAAAGAAAATAAAATAATAGCGTATAAGCCCAAAAGTATAGTTACAGACTATTTCAAAATTTTAAAATCGCCAAATTGAAAAATTGCATATTTTGCGGATTTCATTTTAAGGGAAATTTGGGAGAATCGGAAGAATGTGATTCTCATCCATTAAGCATGTTTCATTTCCTTTATATAGCAAAGTTGGAAGCCGTACTATTCTTCCTTCTTAGCACAGAATTACTTTTGTTAATTTTTAAAATTCGCTTAAGTCATAGCCAGCGTTCCCACTTGGATACAATTGTATCCATTTGGATACATTTTTTGCTTTAAATTTAGCTTGGATACAAAGATACTCAAATCTGCTAAAATGCCAAAATTGGCTACATTTCAAAATTTTGCTGAAATATGGATACATTTATTCCCTAAACACTAAATAAATGTTACAAAACTGTTAAAATGCTGCTAATATTAAAACGCGTAATTGCTTTATCTTTCAAAAGTGTTATTTGCTGGCATTTCTAAGCAGATTTCCGAGTTTACTAGAAGAAAGTAAGAAATCTACTTTATTAAATGAGTGCTGTCTCTTCCTGTATCCAAATCTAGAACATTTAGACAAGAACGTACCAGAAATATTTTGGAGTAAGCTAGTTGTAATAGAAAATGCATTGGCTGTACATATTTTTTAACATTTATCCGTTTTAATGGTAAATTGTCTTTAGCACATAGTTCAACAACATATATGCATATGTTTTTTCTGACCTTAACTTTTTACACATTTAAAATGTAATAGAAGTTGTATGTGATTTCTTAAAGAATTTACTATAAATAAAAAAGCCAACAATAGGACGGCTTGGTATAAAAATTCTGCTTTATGAGGTGGGATACATTTTGGATACATTTTTTCTTCGAAATTGGATACATTTTGTTTTAACCAAGTGGGAACACTGGTCATAGCCTGACCGAAAATATTTTTTTTCTTTTATAAATTTTGGTAACACTAGTCTAAAAAATATTCTCAACTAGTCTACAAAAATTCAATTGTTTATTTTTTTTTTCTCTACTATGTATTTTTTTTTTTAAAGAAAATTTTAAAAGTAGAAAATAAAAAGGAAAAAAAATCCGTTTTCAGCCCGTTCACAGTAACCGTACAGTTCAGTTAGTCTTTAAAGAGTATTCAAGCGTTAAAGTTGTCGTTCGCGCAACAAAATATATTTATGAATCATTCTATTGCGCTAAATTTTTGATCGTGTTGCAAAAAAAAAAAATAACAACAAATAGAAAAAAAATCGCGTGCTTTCACTATTTTTTAAATTTACACGAAATTTAAGGAAAGCGTTTTTTTTTCCTACTTCAGTTTTCTCAACACGTAACCAAACCATACCTTTTTGGATTAATTTGTTTTTGGATTACTTCGCATACAAGCAACTTAATTTTATTATTGGGTATTTCTTTGTTTTTTTTTTTCGGGGAATTAATATTAATGGTAAAAATTTTTTTTATGAAATATAATTTTAAATTTTAAAATTTTGGTTAAAAAGATGATTAAGAAATTATTTGAGAAAAAATATGGCTATAAAAATGGTGTAAAATGAGCAGTTTCTGTTATAATTTTATTTTTTTGTTTTTATTAAATTAAAGATCAAAGTCTGTTATACAATTTCTTTTAATTGAAATAACAGGGAATAAATATACATTGACATACACAAATTATTATTAATTTATATAAGAGAAAGCGAAATAAAAAGTTGACCGCTTGTTTTTACACAATCTTGAACAAAAATAAGAAGCAAATATTAAAAAAAAATTTAATTATTAAAATAAAGAAAAAGTATTATAAATTACAGCTTGGTCTGTACTCTTTAATATACATATGTATGTAAATAAATGCCCTTAATATATATAGAGAAATTGTCCTAAGAAAAGAGGAAATTTCTCTGTTAAAATTTCTACTTTAATTAATTTTCATTTAATTTGGAATGAAAGCCACAACAGTCGGCATTATCAAAGTACATATTTTCAAATCATATTCATAAGTGATAAATATTCAAGATAAAAAATACATTATGTATACCTAATTTGTATATATGTACAAAAATGTATATAACACTATTATCTGTAACTATATATGGATGTACATTTAAATGTACATATATTTAAATTTTACAAGAATGTAGAGTAGATACAAATTTGTTGATAATTTTCTTTACATTTGCAAGACAATATTAATTGACTCGTAAATATTGCATACTTTTATACATATATAAAAGCACATATTTTATACATATAAATTTGTATAACAATATACATATAACAATACTATTGCAGTCCGGAATGTGCAATGAATAAATAGTGAGGTAGTGGAAAGCAAAAAAAAATTAAGAAACAAAATTTAATTTCTTACAATTTCTCTTTTCTTTTTTTTTTGGGAAATTTTTTGTTATTGTAAAATTAATTATGACCAATTATACTTATGATCATATACATACATATTATTTGTGTTCATATATTAAAAGAAATTTATTTTTCTTTTTAATAACAAAACGTAATTCAAAATTTGAAATGTTCTAGCTCTAATGAACACAAATATGTAGAGTAGACAAATAAAATGTTTATTTGGCATTTGCGGTAAAAAATGTACATTGCGGCGAAAAATGTATATAAATTTAAAAAAATAAATTCCTAAGAATTTTAACAATAATCAAGATTGTTAAACAATAATATAGCCCCCTTAGAATAATATAACTGTTATACAATAATATAACTGTTATACAATAATATAACTGTTATACAATAATATAACTGTTATACAATAATATAGCTGTTATACAATAATATAACTGTTATACAATAATATAACTGTTATACAATATTATAACTGTTATACAATAATATAACTGTTATACTATAACTCAATTTCACTGTAATATCAAATACAAGCAATTTTCACTGTAATATTATACTGTAAAAAAAAAAATAACTTTTAGAATAACGTATTTTAAATTAATTTTACTATTTATATTTATTAATAATAATACTACCATTATTGTCTGAATGGCATATATTTGCAGCATTTTTAGTTAAAAATTTTCGAAACGAATTTCATTTAAAGTGTTTGAAATCAAAAGAATTTCAGTATCCATTCAAGTATTTTTTTACAAAAATTCATGAAATATCAAGATGAATAATTCGTGAAATTTTAAAAAAATCAATTGAAATTTAATAATGTTTGGAATAATTGAATTCACTAATATTTTAATTATATCATTAATACTAATATTATAAATTCTAAAAATTAAGATTCTTTTGTAGCTAGAATACAAAAATTTTTTGATATTTAACACATCACCTTTTTAAAACAACAATAAAATAAAATTTATATATTGAAAAAATCCTCTTTAAATGGATATAAGGAATGCTGTCTTTTGCCATATTCCCAAATTAATCACACACAATCACAATAATATATTGTTATTATAATAATATTGAAAAACCTGATCTGAATATTTAATTTTATTAAATTCATTAAAAATATTTCTTCTTTAATTAGAATTTTATTGTTGAATAAAAAAAAATTGTGAAAATTTTGTTTTAGAATTTTTAGATTTTCCTTAATTGAATACAAAAAACAAAAAAACAAAATTTTTTATGATGATTATTGCATTTTAATAGCATTTTAAAATTAAAATATTGCATACCAAGGTGTATGATACATGAATGTGTAAGTGTTATATGAATTTGTGTATGACATATTCCTTGTAGTGATTATCAATGTGAAGGTAATTTTTGCACTGTTTTAGGAGTAAGAAAGGATTTTGTATTTCTAATTTTTTTTTTATTATAAAATTGAAAACATGTAAAGAATTTTCAATGAGATTTTCCATTTTTATATGGTGTAGCTTATTTATTATGTTGTAACTTCGTATTATTTAATTTAAATAAAGTGTTAAGACCTTAATATACACTACAATATTAAAAAATACCCTTGATAATTAGATTATATATTGTCCCGAACAGAATAGAGTTTGTAGATACGGAAATATTTAATTAAAATCAAAACTATTAAAATTATTTATTTCTTTAATTTTTATTTAATTCTTAAATACCTAGCCTAAATCCAGTTAACTGACTGATTATTGAGATATCTATACCCATATAATATAAATTTTTCAATTAGAATCTATAATTAGAATTCAAATCTTACAAAATACTATAATAGAAATATGCATGACTTTACACAATATTTTTAAATAAAATACTTATAGTATTGTATTTATGTAAATTAAAATTGTAATAAAAATTTCAATTAATATTTCTAAGATTACCTCATTATTTCTTTACTGTGATTCAATAAAAAAAATTTAATTTATATTTTAACATGGAATAAAAATAAGAAAACTAGGTTACTTAGTGTCATTTATTTTGCGCGGTCTTAAATAATAAATTTTGTTTAGCATCTTAAATTATTCGTTGCCATTACACGTATATTTACTGCTCATCGGCAATATATGAGCTTATTGTTGAATAATAATAGGAATTCTGTGGGGTTTTCAAGTAAAAACTGCTTAAGTTGAAAAATCGCTTTTTCGGTAAATATTTGAAATATTTTTCAAAAAAAAATTTTTTTTTCAGTTTGCTTTTACAAACGGTATGAGCATTGAACAAAGTTTTTCATATAAAAAAAATGCTCATTGACAGGGCTCATGACTTAATTTTATACCCGTTGTAGCTTCGGAATGACAGACACTTGAAATTTTTTTTTGCATTGAGTCAAATTGCCACGTTTATATTTCTGCTTTAATCGTAAATTAAACTAAAATAAGTCAAATTTGGACCATATTGCAAATTAAGCTACAAAAAATTTAATTTGCATTTGTAATCCAATTTTGAACCAATATAAAATTCGATACAGGCAATTATTGATTGCAACCACAAAATTATCATCAATAAACTTAAATAAAAAATTTTGTAAACGAATTTTCATAAGAATTGAATTTGTTCTACATACAAAGATAATATAGAAAACATAATTTTCCTTTTTAAATTAATTTAAAACAAAAAAATAAAAAATCATGTTCAACAATTCAAAATAGACATTTTGACACCTGCAATAACATAAAATAACAATATTGTGAACATATAGAAATTCTATGATGAGTAATGAAATTTTCCTATGTACTCGTTTAATGAAAATGCGTGATTTTATTTGTTATACTCGTATTCGAAGTTAATAATTAAAATTTAATACTAAATGTTGCATTCAATAAACATTGATATTTAATAGTTTCAATGAAAATTATTTTTATACATTTAAACATTAAACCAATCAATCAATATATATAGACATATATGTAGGTATTGTGAAAACCTCAATAAAAATATTATTGTAATATTAGAATGCAATGTGATATTTATGCAGTAAATATACACTAGTATAATGTGAAGAATGAATCAAACATGTGAAAAATAGTTGGAACATGTGAATAAAAGAACATCTTACTTATTTTCTATAAAAATTATAAATAAAATATTAATAATAATTCACAATTAATATAAAGTAATATTAAAATTGATGAAAGAATTTCAATATTGAGTTACATAAGAAATTTTTAGTTTCATTTTGCAAGTACTTATCTAAGCACTTCGTTTATATTGTGAATTTTATAATATGAAAAAATAATTTTTTAAGTATAGATTATATAATAATATTAAGCGCGGAAGCAAAATAACATACTTATTAAGTATCTCTTTGGAATTTTTTATATATTTTTTTTTCTTTTTGCTCCCTTAATTGATTGTGAATGGGAATTCCAAAACGCAAAAACGCAAAATAAAAAAAATTAAATGACAAATTGGCTAATTTGACAAATATATAGGTATAAATTTGTAAGAAAGATATGTACATATATACATATGTGTGTGCTAAATCTTAGTTCTTAATACAAAAAGTAAAATTTTTATTAAAATTTTTGTTTTACTTAAATTATCTGTGCTTATAGAATTTTTGACATACATATATTCAAAATTGGTGAAGATAATTGCGAAAATTGATGACTTTCATGATATTTTATTCATGCGTGTGTTATTTGTGTTGTCTTTCATTCTTTGTAATTTCATGTCAAGTGCAATATGACACATTGTGTCATGTGTATTCTCAAACAGTTCACTCAACAATATTTTGAGGATGCAATGGAAATAAAGTATATTATTGAAATGAGTGTAACATTAAATTTGTTTTTTTACGGTTATACATTCATTAAAGTCTCTTATACTTTCATTGCATATTGAGTTGCAATTTACTAAAAAAATTAATTAAATTTCGATTTTTTACCTGAATACCTACATACGAGTATATATGTACTTTAGTTTTAGTAATTTTATTTATTAATTTAGTCATTTTTAATCGCAAAATGAATTTTGTGACATTAAAATCATACAGTACACAAATTGTATGACAACAACATTATATACTGTCACAAACTGCCC